AAGGCGAGAGCTCTAGTCGATTATATCCATCGTGCTAGTCAAGCTACGCCGCTGGACTAAGCACTCGTAGTCTCGAAATTCTACACGACGCGTATGTTTTTTTATGCTCTCCGATGGGCGATGGACATTCAGTGGCTCACGCATCATGCTAGAAATACTTACTCCATGGACCTCGTACAGCTAGAATCGACTCCGAGCTTCGAAAGCCACGCGAGACTCCTTATTGAGGCTTCGGAGGCCAACATTGCGCGTATCGAATCCCAAATTAGGGACCTGGAGCGTCTGCGCGACCGCGAACGCGCGATAGTCGCGAGGCTCCGTGCAGCCATTGCCCCAGTCCATAAATTGCCCGCCGAGCTTCTTGTGGAAATTTTTCGCTACCACTGCAGTTATCCATCCATAGTGAAGAAAGTCCAGGCGTTATCCCACGTCTGCGTGTACTGGCGACGAGTGGCGATCACGACCCCCCAATTGTGGACCAACGTTCCGTACATTGACCTTGCCAAAACGCCGACGGATCCATATGTAGCCGGGCTGAAGGAATGGGTGGACAGATCTGCGCCTTTGCCTATCCATGTCCATCTTCGCTGTCGGCCAGGCGCAGATGCGACGGCAGTGGTGGGGATTTTGCTCACCGCGGTCCACCGATGGAACGGAGCAAATTTCATCCTTCCTTCGCTTTCTGTACTCTCCCGCGTCCCTCCCGAAGCGCTGAAATGCCTCCAAAAGCTAAACCTGCACAGCCGAGACACGACCCATGCGACATTGGCCACCTTCTCGCTCGCACACAACCTTCACACCCTTTCCCTTGACGCCCGACGCACCGCTCGTCTCCGACTGCCGTGGTCCAACCTTGAGGAACTCGACATGACGGCGGACACACCCCAGGAGTGCCTCGACAGCCTTCTCCAGTGCACCAATATTGTTTCTGCCCAATTTCGCATGCCGCCGTGGGCAGATCTTCCAGACCTCTCTGGAATCAAATTGACCACTCTCGAGAGGCTGGAAAGACTCACTATCATAATAGCCTGCGACCCAAATACCCTCACATCTGACGGGTTCATCGTGCCATTCTTTGTGTGCCTGACACTTCCCGCCTTGAAACGGCTAAGTCTTGACCTCGCTTTTGACGTCGCCTTGACGGTTGTAGAGTTCACCCAATTCCAACTCAGGTCCCCCAACATCGACTACCTGAGTATCAACAGCTCGCATATCAACTCGGACGATCTTATCGCTGTCCTCCGTCACGCCCCCTCCCTCTTGGAACTGAATTTGCAGTACTGTAGCTATGCTTTCGGTGATATCGTTCTCGAAGCGCTTTGCTCTTCCCTTCGCGACCCCCTACCGTTGGTCCCTCGTCTACATAAGCTCGTGGTGTACGAGGGGTGCGAGGACATCAACGAGGATATGCTGGACGCGTCGATTACCTCGCGATGGTGGACGGACGAACAACTTGCCACTTTCCCTTCGCCTCCACAGGTCTCGCGCTGGTCCCACTTCGAGATTGAGAGTGACGGCGACGACGTCAGCGAGGAATTCGAGACCAAGTTGAAAGAATATCGGGCACAAGGTCTACCCGTACATGTGGTATAATACCGTGAGTGACCTGATATTCGGTTGCTTGATCTTGTCTTTGCTCACTATGTTCTGCTTGCAGATCTACCCTTCTATAAGTACTTCCTATGTATCTTCCTTATCCTGCCAAGTTCAATTTACATGAGACTTGATTTCCACGTACTTTTCTTCCTAAATTCGATTCCGTCCCGAGGATGATTTGAGACTTTGCCAGATGCTTGGTCGTGTATTTAGAGCTTTCTCTTCGGCAATGCCAGGTGACAACGAGTTCTCAAAGACGAATATGCGCACAACGAACTCACCAGCAATTTGAGCCCGCGACCCCTATCCGAATGCGGATACACCTGATCTCGCTTGCGGCGCTTGTTTAGCGCTTCCTCGTTCTCTTTGCCGTACCACTGTGGAAGCTGGCCAGCTACTTAGTTCTCCCTGGACAGATAGCCTTTGTCAGTTAACTGAGGATTCGGAGCTCGACGTTCTACACCACGTCTGTTCTTTTCTATTACTTCCTCGCTTTTGCGATCTCACGCGTCATATGTAGTAGTTGGTCATAGCGTCTGTCCTCACTGAGACTGAGCCTCGATTCTACCCGATGTATGTTTCTTTCCCCCCCGGGAAACCATTTGACTGACATATGTACTCGAAGTGCCGCGGCATCGCTACATATGGACCTGCTTGAGCTAGCATCCACTCCAAGCTTCGAGAGCCAGATGAAACTCCTCATCAAAGCTTCAGAGGATAAAATTGCGCGCATCGACTCCCAAATCAAGGATTTGGAGCGTCTGCGCGACCGAGAGCGCAGAATAGTCGCGAGGCTCCGCGCAGCCATTGCCCCAGTCCACAAATTACCAGCCGAACTTCTCGTGGAAATCTTTCGCTATAAATGCGATTCAGAGTACACTGCTACCTGGCGCAGTGTCATCAAAAAAGTTCAGGTGTTATCCCACGTCTGCGTGTACTGGCGACGAGTGGCGATCAATACCCCCCGGTTGTGGACCAATACTCTGAGCATCGAGCTCGGAAAAGCAACGACCGACGCTTATGCAGCCCGGCTGAAGGAGTGGCTGAACAGATCCGCACCTTTGCCTATTGGGGTCCATCTCGTGTCTTGGTCAGGCGCAGATGCGACGGCGGTCCTGAAGGTGTTGCTGGCCGCGGTCCACCGATGGAGCGAAGCAAATTTCGACCTTCCTTCGCTCTCTGTACTCTCCCGCGTCCCTCCTGAAGCGCTAAAATGCCTCCAAAGCCTAACCCTGCACAGCCGTCGAGACACGAACTCGGGGTCGTTGTCCGCCTTTTCACTTGCACACAACCTTCGCAGCCTTTCCCTCGACATCCGACACTCCGCCCGGCTCAGACTTCCGTGGTCCAACTTATTGGACCTCAACATGACAGCGGACACGCCTGAGGAAGCGCTCCACGGCCTTCTCCAGTGCACCAATATCGTCTCCGCCTCATTCCGCATGCCTGCGTGGGAAGATCTTCCCGACCTCTCCGAAATCAACTTGACTACTCTCGGAAGGCTGGAAACACTCGATATCACAGTCAACGCTGACACCGAATCGGGTTTCGTCGTGCCGTTCTTTGTGTGCTTGGCCCTTCCGGCCTTAAAACGGCTCGTCCTCCATCTCGAGCTAGAGCTTTCCTGGTCGTCCGCAGCGTTCACTCAATTCCAACTCAGGTCACCCAATATCGACTACCTGAGTATCAGCTGGTGCTCTATCGACTCGGACGATCTGATGGCTGTCCTCCGTCATGCCCCCTTGCTCTCTCAACTGTGTATGGAGGGCTGCGCAAATGCTTTTGACCATATTGTTGTTGAAGCACTTTGCTCTTCCCCCGAGGACCCCGACCCATTGGTTGCTCACCTCCATGACATTATGGTGTGCGAAGGGTGCGACGATCATGCGGACGATACGTTGGATGCCCTGATTGCTTCCCGATGGTGGACGGACGAACAACTGGCCGCATTCCCGTCGCCGCCCAAGGTTTCGCGCTGGTCGCACATCGAGATCCAAAGGGATAACCACGGCAACGGCGACCTCAGCCCGGAATTCGAGGCAAAGTTGGAGCAATATCGCGCGCAAGGTCTAGATGTAGAGATCTACCTGTAGATATCGATAGATATCTAGTAATCTGAAATGACTGGTAATTTAACATCTATGTATTCATTGGTTGGTCCTTACTCACGATATTTTGTTTGCAGATCTTTATGATTTCTATGTACTTTAAGTGACTTTCCGCAACATCTTCTATCGTTGACTTGTTGGACGGCGCCATCCACCTTCAATTCACTCAACAATAAACCCTCAGTCCGACCATTTACCTCTCATCCTCGAACTCGACATTCCTGAACCATGTCCCAACCGCGCTTCAAAATTCTACTCTCCAGCGATACCCTCCATCGAGAAACTTGACGCAATTCGAGGGCGCAGAACGCGACTAATACTGTGGCGGACCGCTTGAACGATTTGTCCCGCCATAGCGATGGATACGGCTGGCCGGCATCACGAGCTCTAGCTCAACGTTGAGTTGTCACAAAATTATTTCTGCACTTTCGATCCATGCACACCAACGAAGCGAAGTGGACGGTACATGCCGTTCCCTTTTGAACGGCGGTGCCTTCTACTTCAAGACGTTGTCATACTTCAGAAGTCAGCACAGAAACGGAAGTCAGTGTAGAAACTGCACCACCAACGATTCTCAGGCTATTCGATTCCGTTCGATGTCCTTAGGGATATCTTGGTATTCTGTGTTCCGTGGCCCGGGCTGAAAATTTGGTCCTGTTGCGCTGGGAGGCAGTACTGTCGTTGAAAGTGGACACGAGCGTGGGATACGAAATCAAACACTGGCATCCCAAGTTGGTAATAATGTGTCTCGGAGGACTGTGACACCGGTGAGAGGTCACATTCTGCTGAAAATGAATGCAGTAACTTGATGGGTTTCAGCCGGAGGGAGCCAGTTTGAATATTAATGCTACGCACATATATATAGCTTCAGAAAAGACGATGGCATTTTTTTCGACCTTTGATTTCCGATCAAGGATACACCGCGCACGGAATCTCACTCCCCGCCCTCCTAGTAAGCCTCTGTTGACTCTAGCTCTCGTTACAGTATGGCTGCAACCCATGACTGGGAGTGCGAGGGTTGCAGGAAGAAATAATCGGAGATCACCGGTACTTTCTCACGGTTGGTTTCCACGAACGCCGCGCCCCTACGCCCAGATGTAAACCCGTGGTGCTGAGGGGTGATCATTTTGGTGGACTATATCTGGCTGCGCATACCCGCTTCGCCAAATTTCTCACATTTTCTCTTGCCGATTTCTTTCAACTTTGTGTTGTGGTTCAATTTTCTCAGTTCAGCTGCTAGGTCGTACCTCATTATGTTGTAGATACCTACATAGGGCATGCAAGGATAGAATCACTGACCTGGTGGTGTAACTGGTAACACACTTGCTCCAAATGAATGAAAATCAGGCACTCCTGCAAGTGCTCCCCGTTCAATTCGGGGTCAGGTCATGTTCATGCTCTTCACCTTTTCTTAATTTTCTTGCGTTGAGCGGTCACTTATTTTAGGGAGAAACCTTGAGTCTGAACACGTATTTACATAGTATATGACAGAGAGCAGGGAATCAATGACCTGGTGGTGTAAATGGTAACACACTTGCTTTGATTAACCGAAGAAGAACTTGTATGCAGGAACTCCCCGTTCGATTCGGGGTCAGGTCATGTTCTTTCTCCTCACTTTCTCTTCATTTTTCTTGCCTTACATTGAGCGGTCACTTATTTGCGCAGGGAGAAGCCTTGATTCTGAACAAGTATTTATCTGAGAAGTTGAAGACTGTGGTTGTGGACCGTTGTGGTTCAATTTTGTGAATTGCACGAGTGCATTTGGAAGGAAGCTGCAGACATCAATACCTATGCACATAGTGTATATATAACAGAGCAGAAGGAATCAATGACCTGGTGGTGTAACTGGCAACACACTTGCCTTAATTAGCCAAGAAGAAACTTGTGTACAAGAACTCCCCGTTCGATTCGGGGTCAGGTCTTAATTGTTATTGTTCTGATTATTTTCTTTTCATTTTCTTTGCCTTGCCTTGCTCAGGGAGAAATCTTGAGTCTGAGCGAGGATTTTTTTGAAATCGAGAAGTTGAAGCTGTGGCTATCAACTATTGTGGTTCAATTTTGTGTGGTTCAATTTCACGAGTGCATTTGGATGCTACTGTACAGACATCAATACCCATGTACATAGTATAGAGTATAACAGAGAGAAAGGAATAAATGACCTGGTGGTGTAGCTGGGTAACACACTTGCTTTAATTAGCCTAGGAAGTAATTGTTATGCAAGGACTCCCTGTTCGATTCGGGGTCAGGTCATAGTGCCATATGAGTTTTTTTTTTGTTGAAAAAAATAAGTACGCTCTTCCATCCTTTTGTCCTCAGCGGAGAACTTTGTAGCCTTAACTTTGTTCTTACATGAGGGAGAGATTTGCTTCCTCCGGGATGTTCACGACAATGAGCATTTGATCTTTTGGTTGTGGTTCAATTTCCCGACCACTTACAGAGCTAGTTAATATATAAGGGAGTAATGGATGAATGACCTGGTGGTGTAACCAGGTAACACACCTGCTATAATTGAGCCTGCGTAAACGTTATGTTCAGGGTTCCCTGTTCGATCCGGGGTCAGGTCATGGATTGAATTTGAGTTTTTTGTTTCTTCTTCTTTTTTCCCCTCCTCGCTCTGAGGCCTGAGCGCTCCCAATTTTTGAACTCAAGCTTGTAGCAAGATTCGAGCGGGCAGGTGTTCAATTTGAAGGCCAAGCTTGATTTGTTGTGTCGTCATTCATTTCAACCAATTGGTTGACCAAACTACTCAATGCTGGTGAAGAGTAAATAGGCATTGACCTGGTGGTGTAACTGTAACACACCTGCGTAGATTAAGCCATCAGAAAATTGTTCTGCAGGGGTCCCTCGTTCGAGTCGGGGTCAGGTCATGTCAATTTGACAATATTGTTTTTCCTTCACATTTTCCTCCACCCCCCAGAAAAAAACATGCAATTCCGTACCCGCTCCCTCCTCCAGCCACTCATCCACCGCTGATGTGGTTGAAATCAACTTCAACCCCATCACACTTGCTTTGCATCTATTTACACCTGTTTGATTCCCAGGCCCCCGCGGCACAAACCATCGTCCGACGACACACGTCTCCCTTCGCAGCTTTGCATCCCAGTCTCCCCTCACCTGTACCCTTCGTTCCCCGCACCCCTCACAAGCAACCGCAATGTCGTCCGACCTGTGTCCCGTCTACGCGCCGTTCTTCAGCGTCATGGTGCGTTTTCCCTATGGGCTTGTTCGGGTTATCGTAGGGGTTGACTGACGAGGCGTTGCTTTTAGGGCTGTACGAGCGCTATCGTGTTTACCTGTACGTCCCTTCTCCTCGTCGTTGTCGTTTTACACCGCTGACACGAATGGTGCGCAGGCATAGGAGCCAGGTCTGTTTGTTTCCTTGCCTTCAAGAGATAGCAATAGCCAGAAGAGTAACGCAAGCTGACGATTCCTGGTTGTAGTTACGGAACCGCGAAATCCGGCGTCGGTATCGCCGCCATGTCCGTCCTGCGGCCAGACCAGATGATGAAGTGTGTCGTCCCCGTCATCATGGCTGGTATCATCGCCGTTAGTCGCCCCTTCCTCTTCCCTTCTCATTCTCACATTTGCTGATATGTCGGTAGATCTACGGCCTCGTCGTCTCGGTGCTCATCGTCTCTGACCGTACGTCTCCCTCCCTTATACGAAGTCGAGCATGGAGCTAATAATTCATCCACGCGCAGTGAACGTCCACATGTCCCTCGCCCAAGGCTTCATCCAAATGGGCGCCGGCCTCGCCGTCGGGCTCGCCGGTCTCGCAGCGGGCTTCGCCATCGGCATCGTCGGCGACGCGGGCGTGCGGGGTACCGCGCAGCAGCCGCGGTTGTTCGTCGGCATGGTGGGTTTCTTTTGCGTCGATAATAGAGAAGAATGTTGTTGACGCGCTGCTGCAGATCCTCATCCTCATTTTCGCCGAAGTGCTGGGGCTGTATGGTACGTCTTTTCCTTCCTGTCCCCCTGGTCCTTCCTGCGCTCTTTCCCTTCTGCTGTATTGTGCTTTTCGGCCCGCGGTGCATCTGTGTTTTGCGTGTACCTCGTCCTGATCACGGGCCGCCGCGACGTGCTGTCGCTGCGTAACAGCGACACGACACGAAGCTGCCAATAGGTTCTGTCTTGCGCGACACAGGTGTATAGTATTACGCTGCGATCCCTGCGCTACGAGCTGCGCACGCTCCGCGCATAACCTGTGCTGTGCAAGACTGCGAGCTGCGCCCAGTAGGGTGATGCGGAAAGCTGCGGGCGTGTCTACTGCGTGCTGCGTACCTTCCGCCTGTGACGTGTCTAGGGGTGTCAATGTCTCGCGCAAGGCCGCGTGTGGTGTATCATGTCCTCCGCACTGCCACGAGCGCGATCCTTTCGCGTCGCGCACTGCGCGGTAATAAAGGTCTCTCGCTGTCTTGCGCCTGCGCAGGCCGCGAGCTGCGTACTGCGGCGTATTACTCGACGGACTGCGTTGGCCGGCATTCGGCCGGCATTCGGCATGCTTGCTCGACATGCTTGCAGAACGGTCTGAGCATTGCGACGACGGCTTGACGCACTGGCTACCCTACATTTTCTTCCTCTCCTCTCCCCTTTCCCCTCCTTGTTTCCCTCCCTCCCCGTCTTGTGATTCAATACTAATAAATTTTCGCCTATAGGCCTCATCGTCGCCCTCATCATGAACACAAAGTCGCAGGAGATGATGGGTGCTGTGCGTACCCCTTCCTTTCTTCCCTTCTCTTTCCACCTGCCTTCATCTACTTTGCTTTTACTCTCCTTCTTTCCACTTTATTTTTTACTTTTACTCTTACTGTTGTTGTCACGCTTTTGTCATCACGCCTTTCCTTTCTTGGGACTTTTTTTTCTCTTTTTTTTTTTTTTTGGTGGCGTTCTTGGACTTGTGGGGGTGCGCCGTCGCTGGAGAAACGGATAGACTGCGTTGGCCGTCGCCAGATTTTTTTCTACCTTGCCCCGCCGGCTTTACCTTTTCATGTCTTCCATGGTCGCTGTCGCTGTCGCCGTCGCTGAAAGGACGGACGCTCTTGACTCTCTGCGCCGTGGCCTTGCCTGGGGGCTGGGTGATGCGACGCTGGGCTGGTGCGGGATCGTACTTTTACCGCACCCGCACCCCGCTGCATTTGGAGGGAGGGTGAGGGCAAGGGCGGGGCGCCGTTGCCGTTGCCGTCGTCTTGTAGCTCTGCCTTTGGAGAGCCGCAGCAGCAGTGTGCGAGGGTGATGGCGTTGGAGAGCAGCAGTAGCGTGCGCTTCGTTCCCTTGCTTTCTTCTTGGGAGCGTCAGTACGTTTGCGTGGGACCTTTTTTATTTTTTATTTTATATTTTTTACGGTGTGGTTCTCTTTCTCTTTGGGGCGGGAGGCAGGAGGGGTGCGGCCTCGCCTCCCGATGACTTGTGGGGGATGCTTCATCGCGCCGTCGCCGTCGTCGCTGGAGAAACAACGGACAGACGCAGTGGGTTGTGGTCGTCGCCGTAGTTTTTCTACACTGCTGCGCCGGATTTACTTTTATACTTTCCGCCGTCACTGTTGCCGTCGCCGAAAGGACGGACGGCCTGGACTCTCTGCACTGCGGCCTTGCCTCCCTGCGACGCTGGGCTGGGCGACGCGAGGCGAAAATAGCACGAGTATCTTACTTTTGCGAGACCCCCCCGCACCCCGCACCCCGCCTGCATTTGGAGTGCAAGGGCGCTGTTGCCGACGTCTTGTAGCTCTGACGGCGGCGTTGCGGGAGTCTGACGGCGGTGTTGCGGGAGAGGAGAGGAAATGAATGCGAATGCGAATGTCCCGCGTTGTTCTTGTTCTGGGCTCGGGGGAGCAGGAGGGGACGCGCGCGACTGCCATCGTTCCCTTGCCTTTCCTTTCTTTCTTTTCTTGTGAGTGTCCGTACGTTCGCATGGGCGGGCTTTACTACGCTTTGACTTTTTTCTTCTTTTGCGGTGTGGTTCTCTTTCTTTGGGGCCGGAGCCCGGAGGGGCGCGGCTCGCTTCACCGCGGGATGGCGGCGTGCTCTCTGTGTGTGTGCGTGGAGGACGTCGGGGGGCGTGTCCCTTCCCTTTTCCTTCCCGCCGCCCGCCTCTTTGGCCTGGCGGTCCTGGATAGTCATGTTGCGTTCCGCCGGCATGGGTGTGGGTGTCGGGCGGCGACGAGGCCGTCGCGGGCGCGACCTCTCGAGAGCAGTGACTGAAGGCTGACAGCGAGGCGCTGTCTTGGTTCTTTTCCGTTTCCTTCGAGCGCGCTTTCTTTCTGTTCAGCCCACACCAGCTATTCTCTTCCCTGCATCTACGTTTTTCCTTTTTGCCGTTCCTTTATCTATCCCCCTTCTCTGCTATCTATCTCCTCATCTACTCTCGTCACCTTACTAACCCACTTTTTTTAGTGCTAAGCTAGACGAGAATACCCACGACGACGGACGCACGAGCCTGGGACGCACGAGGGCATCGCACTGCGTTAACATAAATCACAAATCACCCTTGCCCTTGTTTCGCTCCTTGTTTTGTGTGCCGGAGACGACGCGTACGTACGTACGTAGCTAGCTAGTTGCTGAACCCTTTTCTCAAGTATTATTGTCTGTCTGTTTAATAATCCGACTGAATTCGATTCATTGGTGTCGATGTGTGCGGTTTGCGCGGGCGGCGGGCGGGCGGCGAAGGTATTCTGCCAGGGAACTGACTCGGGTGTTGTGGGCAGGGCGGACGAAGGAAGGTCGAGGGTGGGGCCGACGCAGAGCTGGTCGTGGCCCAGGGCGTCGGTGGATGAGAGGGAGGTAACGCCAAAGCCAAGGCGGGCATTGCGGGGGAACCCTTCAGCGTGGGATCTTGCTTCGTCTTGCCTTCGGAGAAGACGTGGATAAACTCAAGACGGTCTGGAACTCTTCGTGGATCAACTCGGTCAAGAAAATATCTTGGCGGGCGTAACAGCCCTCCGCCCAGCCCGCCGAACGGAGGTTTCTTTCAAGCCCTTGATGCGGGGCGTCGGGTGGATAATCTTGGAAGTTGTGGAACAGGATTCTGGCGACAAGCTTGGCCTTCGACGCGGCGGCGGTGTCCTGGATTGGGGTAGTCCTCAACGCGTGGAAAACGGACAAAGCGGTGGCGAGCGCACCCTCCGAAAACCCCTGGACGAAATTCGCCGATCTAGGTTTTCACGCGCCCAACAAAGCAGCGCGGCCAAAGTCGCGCTAACGTCGAACATAAACCATCTTAATCTGTGTCGGCTTCAGCTGCAGCTCAGATGGTCCTAGATGCGCTGCCGAGCGCCTGCATGTCTGCCGCCTCTGCGCAGCGCAGTGCGCAGTCGTTCTCGATCCTCTCTCTCACCACCTCGCTCACCCACTTCTCCTTTTCCGTGCTAAGCTGCTTGGAATAAATATTCACGAGGGACGCACGAAGGAGCGAGGGCATCCCTCCTCCAACCTTTCCCTTTACCTTTAGAGGTACGACCCAACCGCCTATCCACCGTTGTGTCTGTCGTAGCTGAGCGTTTTCTCAACATGTGTGCCTGTCTACTGATAATCCGAATCAGCGTTTCTGCGTTCTTGGCGAGCAGTTCGACGTTACGTCATGCGGGCTATCCGGTTCCAAGACGCACGTCGATGGGATGGAGCCCTTGGACGGCGGGCGCTTCTCCGACGCCCACGCCGACGAAGATGACCCGGCCGATGCAGGGGCGGAGGCGGTAGCTCTCCACGGTGGCTGTATGTCTGCGTACAATCGCGTGAACTCGGTCGGGCGGAGGTGGATGGAGCGCCCATCTCGCGCACTGACCCGCACGTTTGAAATTTCTCGGCTCAGCGCTATGTACTTACAGAATAATGTTCTCTGTCTCCGCCCTGAGATCGCCGCGAATAACGAGTCG